TGCAAGCTTGAGCGAGGCAAAAACCTTTAGGGCATCTGGCACAGAATTTTGCGATAGAATATAGCAAAGCACTGCTCATGTCAAAATAGTAGTGAATTTTGCTTTCATCACATGACTAGAAATAAGGCTTTTGTGGGTTAGTGGAAATCCTCGGCTCATTAAAATATATAAAATGCGCTTCACATCTGTACATTCTATTAGTTGATTTAGTGCGAACCAAGAAAAAAAATTTCGATTGTTGTTCCCATAACTGGGAGTTATTGCACATTTTCAACTGCTAGAACGGAAGAACTTTCTAGCTTAGTTTACTTACCATCGTCATTTCCAAACAGTCGATCAAGCCAGCCTCTGTGCTTTTTTGGAGGCTGTGTAGTACGATCCCGATCTCTAGACGACCCACTATCTACAACATTAATTATCAATGTCATCGGTTTAACATGAGACAAAAAGTCCGTTGTCCTTGTTCATCCATATAGCCATGTGTTACGTTGAATATTAAGTAGTGAGCAAAGACGCATTTTTTCTGAGGTAAGGTTGAATAAGAACATATTGTTAGGGAAAGCGCCCTCTTGAGTTGGTCTATTTTCTTTATTAAGGCTCTTTTGATTGAAATCTGAAGGTGGGCATTTTTTGGTTGCAAAATACAAGCTGGTTTAACAAATTTCATATAAAATTACAAAATGGTCTAAGAAATTTTGTGAATATGGGAGGGAATGCCATTTTCCCGGTTTTCAGGTATGCTAACTTAATCAGTTTGAGTGGGTTGCAAATTACCTTCTAGAAGTGCTGCAATCTCAGACGTTTTTTATCGAAACACAAAAAGCTAAACGTCACAGAATTTTAAACATGAAGTGCGAAGTCACAAGCGAATAAGCTCGGGTTAAGTCAGACAATGACGTAAATTACGTGAAAAGCCTTTTGGATTAAGCAAGCTAAAGGTATGGTCGTTTGACCTATGCGCGTGAAAGTAGGGAATGTGCAATTGCGAAGCTTCAAAGTCTTCTGCACAAATCCCATTCAAAATTACGTATCATATCAACTCACTGACAACAGTAACACACCTGATCTTTACTTACTTTGGTAAAGAAAGAAAAATTACTTGTCAAACGATGATCCACCGCTAGGTCGTTTTGGAGACGTTGGTTTACCTGAATATCTTCTTAAGATACGCTTTTTTCTGTAAAGTGTAAAATTACCGTAGATATCTTGCTGGAGATGTCATCGTATTTCAACGTCGGCTTTTTGTAGTTTCCACGTGAGTCCACCTGCAAAACAGTCGAAATTATCGTGAAAGTTGAGACTTCACTTGCCCTACCGTTTCATGGCAGAAAAGGGCCATTATGGATGACTCATCGCGGGAGTGTGACAAACCAAGGGTATGGCCTCCCTCATGGATTGCCACAGCTAGAAGGTCCGTGTAGTCACCACTGGAAGAAAAGTTGCTTACAGTATTATTCTAGCACTACCAAAACAAAGATGACACGATAACAAATTAAGGTTTTTCTTGAAAAAAAATCCAAAAATGCAAACCTTGCAATTTTTTTCGCATCCATATAAGTCCAATTTTCGTCGTCATCAAAATGTAGTGCACCATTTTCAGGCATGGTGGCATGCGCTAGCACACCTCCTGGAAAGTCATCAGATCAACCTCAGTGCTTCATCCAACTACAGCATTGAATCAAAACCCTATTGGTGTATCATGAACTTTTTAGAACTTCCACTAGTTAAAAATTCACTTCCACTTCTCCTCTTCTCTCGCCACTATAACATTAGCAAATTGAAAACTTGAGAAATGTGATTTACTTCAGCTGAAAAAGAAAATGTGTACATAGTGCCTAATCAAATTCTTAATTCTCATAAGAGTTCTGCAAAAGTAGCACAGTTTAGTCTCGCTAACCTTCCTAGTTTCTCTTCACTACGTGCTTCTCATTCTTGTCAAATTCTTAGTAATCGTCACTTCCTTACATTTCACGCCACCAAGAGAAATTAAGTGAAGTGACATCTTGTATTTATCAATGCTATTTTCAAGATGGTCTTGAAATTTCTTTGCCGAAAAGAATTTGACTTTTTTGATGACAAACAATTAGGAGCATTTCTTTGCAGCAATTTTCCGACATGCTTTACAAAAAGTTCTTCTTTCAGTCATATCTTCTTTGAGAACTTGTCTCAACCAACCAAAAAATATGGGAGGATAAACAGAGAACATTTTTGGAAAAAAAAGTTGCCTTTAGACTCTTTCCCACTTCTGTTCTTAGTTGTCAAACAAGACTTGCGCATGTGAAAAAAAATATTGCTGATATCAGCATCTAAAGCATCCCGACATATCAGTAGAGGTGGCAAGATTTTAATTTCAAAACACATGTGTAGTTACTCACGATCGTCTTCTTTAGAATATTGTCGTGATTGACTCGCAACTCCTTCCTTACCCGTCACCGTCACATCATTGAAAAGGTTACTGGAAAACACGATAAACAGAAAGGAGCATGGATTGTTAAGCGAGAGAGAAAGAGAGAGAAAGAAGGAAAGGGAGGGCGGAAGCAAAATAAGAGGAAAGTTTTTTTCAATAATATGGTACACCACTGCGAACGTTCCGATCTGGTATAAATCTGGAGCAAATTTACTTACCAGTCACATCTTTAAGGCTCATCTGACAAAAAATACTTGAATGCTCCGCGAACACATGTATGGTGCATGTTTCGCGTTCAACTGTCTTGTTGCTTCAGTCTATACTTTTTATTTAATTGAATGGAGAAATTGCTATAAGATAAGAAAACACTGTGGAACTGGAAAAGGTAATACTGTAGTACATGTATACTTCTTGTTCTCATACAGTTTTGAGTTTCGTAACTAAAAACTTTAACTACTATATATTTTCGCTTGAGTTTATGTTGCTTTGCATTTGTCATCACAAATCCATATGAAGTGTGTTTATATTATCGCATTTTCTCTATGATCTACTTTTGTCTTGGAAAAAAATCACTCAGGATGGAGTTTGGTGCCTTGTTTCTCATGCTTTCTATGGCTTACGTGATCTTCACAATCATTTTATCGGAGTGAAAAGAGGACGTCATGTTCCCTCTTCGCGAGTGTTACCCACCATTGATCGTGTTATGTTAAGAAAACTGCAGCAGCGGCTTCGGGTAGGCGTGCGCTGCGTACGCCGCGCAGTCCGGCTCGACCCGTAAAAGGAGTTTAACAAAGAACAAAACGAATCATGGAAGAGTTTAAGCACTACAAGTTCTGCAGCTTTGATAAATCTAGTAAGTTCTGTAATATATTACTCTTACACTCATGCATTTCATCATCCATGAGGTGCGCTTGCAGAAAGTGCGATTAACTCAGCTCCTCGTTGTGTGATTTCATTATAAAAACCCACCCCCCCCCCTACCTCTCACATCTTCTTGCCGCCCCCTTCCTCCCCCCCCTCTTCCTCCGAGGCAACCTCTACAACAGTAGACGGTAATTTATAACTGTTCCTCAATCAAAATAATCAATTGTCATAGGTGCGTACTTCACTCGTAAAGGGCGGGGATCCGTAAAGCTGATTTGCCTTCTCCTTGGGGCAAACTATATTGCTTCTGAAATCTAGTACTGCGATGTAAAGCTTCCTTTTTCACGTGCTTACGAGACCTAGTATAGTGTTGCTGTTTTGTTAGCTGTGGAACAGCTAACGGGTTATAATAGGCGTGAATTTTCAGCGATTCAATATCGTCTGTGCAGAAAAGCTCAGTCGTTGGTTACATCCTCGCCGCAAAAATCGTCAAATTTTTTCATTTCAAATCAGTTACGTCAACATCATAAAGAGCGAAAAATGCGCAGTACTCCTTGGCTGATTCGGGCATTCGGTATACTACTGAGCTTAACTTTACCAAGAAAGCAACCTTAAGAACCCAACATTTGCCACAAAAAATGATACGTGTGACTATCTCTGCGCTTTCGTTATGATAACAATAACAATTTTGTTGTAGCTTGTTCATTGATCGTCCGCTCCACATACGTTGCGCGAATAATCTTGATTGAAAATGAATGGTTGAAACGACGAGTTTCTTTCACAATTCAATTATTTTCCATTCGACATTCTAGATAGGCATTTTAAACAACAGTAAAGAATAAAATCTATATCGAAAATGAACTGGAATAAACTTATGCAAGCATGGAATGTCAGTAGTGGTAGCTTAGTTTGTTATGAACTGCGACATTTTCTGGCAATATCTTGAGATAAGATTTTTAATCTATATTTATCTAACCGACAGGCATTTTGAACAGCATGCAACTCAAGCAAAATTTTTACTTGCTTAGATAGCTAGAGAAGAAGCTTTACTTGACGTGCGGGCCTCACCACAGAAGTCCATTAATTCTTGTCTCTCGCTTCACCAGGGTCAAGCGTGTTGATGAGATCCGGGACCCTCATTCAAGACCCCCTCCCCCCCCTTGAAGGTACCCATCCGTAGAACCCCCCCCCCCCCCCCCACCCTGCTCTTGAACTGCACGAATGGATGTCAATAACAAAAGATGCCTGCGATTTCACCTCAATCAAATTATAGGTTCGGAGAAAAATAAGTACTTATGAATTGAGAGATAATGCAAGTGATGCTTTACACTCAAAAATCTCACAATGCGTGGATTGAGTAAGTAGTAAAAATTTACAAAAATTTGGTTATGCTTATTGTGGTAGGGAAAATGTGGATGGAAAGACATCATCTGACAAAACAGAACATCAAATCTGAATGATATATATTTCTACTGTAGTCTACTTACAAGCTTAAAAAAATGAGGTAAAATAACAATCAAGAAAGAATCAATCCATTACGAAGTCAGGGCCCGGCACGAAGTCGGCAAAAGCGGTTTTCGAAAACGAATTCCCCTTTGACCCAAAAATTTTTACGAATTCCCCTTTGACCCAAAAACTGACCCCAGTGATTGCGCAGTGAACACTTTACCTAGAGAACAACTTTTATTGACGAAAAAACAAAAACAATTCATTTAAGACATAGAAATCGCTATAGTGAGGTTAATGACGGGCTGCCAGTGTGCTCAGTGCTCTTGAGTGGCCCTGCACCATCTCGTTGCCTAGAGAGTTCCGTGATGGTCCAAAATAATGTATTGTTGTCAGCTGACCTAAACATCACTTTTAATATCAAGAAAAATTTATAGAGCAAAACAAAACTGACCAAGTAGCTGTTGGATCGGATGTCACACTGCTGACTTCTTTGGTTGTGAAGACTAAATTCAATAGCGGGGTTGTTATGGGGCACTCGTTGTTTTGGTAGTCGATTAGAACATCTAAAATGTACGAGACTTTTGGTGCAGCGTATACTTTTTTGGAAAAAACAGCCAATTTAGCAAAAAGAAAGCCAATAAAAAAGAGAGAGAGAAAAAGAAAAAAATGATTAGGGATGCGGGCTATGACGAATGGCACAAAAAAAAAACGAAAAAGAGTCAACTATATCAAACCCATGCCTACCTATATGTACCTACCTCTTCACATTTCCAATATGTAGTGATGTAAAGTGGAGGCTGACTGACCCGCGCATCATCGCATAGCTCGTAACGTAGTATAATCTAAAGAAGATACTAGCGCTATGAGTCATTATATACCATAACTACAGAAGAATGAAAGAATGAGAAATTCACCATAAATATGAAAAAAACCAAAATAAATTCTTACCTTTCTCAATGTCGCATCAGCATCAAAGGCAGAGTTTAGCGTAGGTATGTTACTTCTATGGCGGGCGCGTGCCATTCCCGCTATTGGTCCCATCGATGCTGAGAAATTCAGCGGGGCATTGCTTTTGCCAAAATCCGACTCTAGAAAAAGTCATCTTAACGGAGTGAAGTAAAGAAAGCCAAAATCTATGGTAGAAACGAAATACCATTTGACACGGTCGAAGTGGCTTCAAGCAATCGCCACTTAGTGATTGTGAAAACATAGGGGGACGATTTGACCACCAAGTGTCCACGGTCCTGATATGCTACCATAAAAACTAGAGCAGTCTCAAAGAGGCAACTATTCTTCAAAACTATTTGAGCCGTAACGGGGATATGCAAGACAAAAATAACTTCAAACTTTCGAACATTTTTACCCTCTGTGTCATCAGGAGTGAGCCGGACACGAGCAGCTCGAATCTCTCGCAACCGCCTTGCCTTCTGCACCTTTTTCGCGGTGTTCTATGATCATTTTCCCACAATTGAGCGTGGAAGAGACCCAGCTTTAATCATTAATCAAAGGCGGAAAATCAGGGAGCACGTTCACAAAAGAAGACTAAGCGAGGCGGTTGCGGGAAATGTAAGCCGCTCGAGTCGAGCTCACTCCAAGTGAGACAGAGTGCACACTTTTATGAAAAAAAATGATGAAGAAAGACCCATGAACAAAGAAGGCAATTAAAAAAACAGCGCAATTTTCACCTTGTCAAAAGTACTACTCCTACATATATTGGTATGCGCGATAGCATCTCGCAGTTCATCCACAGATGCATTCACCGTCTTGGCTGAATCCGCTGGTCGGATGGTTAAACTTCGAATTTTAGACTGTTGTAAGGTATTCTCATCCTGGAAACGATTCCATGAGAAAAGTCAAAACTAAGCTAAACGCTACCTCTTCATCGCTGCTGCTACATGATGACCAACCTGTACCTTCTTTGTTATTTTCCTCCTCCCTTATCGTGTAGCCCTCATCGCCAACGGGCGCTGGAGGAGAAGTTAGCGGTAGATCGAGAAGACTCGATGACCCGTTGGTTTTCTATAAAACTCTATATCACACAACTAAGCAAAAAAATTGCATGAACGCACCTTTTCATCGCTTTTGGTGCTGCTAGCCAAGAATTTCGTTGAGATTTACGCATCAACCTGATAGTAAAGCACTCAAAAAGAAGAACAGTAACTTTTCGATGATTTCAACATGAAGAAAAAGAGCTTCTGCAGTGCTTACAAAGCACTTCAATCTTAAGCAACAAAAACAGATCTGGATTTGACCCTCTTCTGTGATCAACCTATTAAGAAAAGTATTACGGAATAAGCCATCACATACATATATTGATCGGGAAATGAAAATGCTGCTTAGGTTACAGATATAATTTGACGATAAGGTCAGTCTTAATTTTGAGGCATTCTCAATATTGCCAAATTTAGTTGCTATGAATGAAAGCCAAAGAAAATATCAAATTCTTAGCGCTGACATATGAACAAGAAACATTCGATAAGGCAGACACAGCCAACTCACAGGCTAATGCCTTAGATTCAAATGAGAACGAGGCGGAAGTCAGTGAAATACGACTAATCGCAATGCAATCAACTAGAAGGGCAACATCATGCATTTGGTCGGGCAAATCTCATTGACACACTTGGTCTCTCAGCTCATTGAGGTCGCATGATAATGTTGCTGAGCAATGGCGGGAAAACTCACGACAGTTCGTTGATAAAGGGTAACGTGGAAGAGTCAGTACAAAGCGCTACGTCACGGCGAGATAACTTTTAGTCAACAATTTCATCCAAAAAAGCTATGGAGTGAGAGGTCGACATGTTGAAAATGATGTAAAAACAACCTTGCTTTACACTCAATAATCCACGAGAAAAATTGAATAATGAGCTGTACAGTGAATGAGTAAGAAATAAACAAATTACCTGATAACTTCAGATTTCTCCGGTGTTCGATTCGCATCCGAAGTTGACTGTTTCGGCCCTACCTGATATGCGCTGAATTCTTCAAGTCAGATGAGATTCATTAGTTATTCTACACTTGTATTCCAACTAGACGACTCCCAAATCTTTAGTAAAAAAGCTAAGCCGACTACAAATTTTGACAGTGAGATTAAGAAAAAACATGATGAAAACGGAATCACAAGGGCGAAAACGAGTGAAAATAACGGCGAAGAGAGTGATTGACGCTAGAGAACGGCGATTATAGGACCAGCAACGCGGTTACCGATTGGAGCGCGCTTTCTTCCTTAGGAAACAGGGCTGCTGAGGCTATATTTGCCTCTAGCGCTGAGTAGAGGAGGAGCTTTGAAACCAAATTTTCAGTATATACTAATCTTTAGGCGTAGAGTAGATTTATGTAAAAATTTTGAAAAAATTATGTGAATTGAGAGTTTTGCCGACCTCAGGTGGGAATTAGGTCGGCAAATGCCGACCTAATTTGGAAATTAGTTAAGCACGCTCTTCGTTCACATAAGTTTTTCATAATATTTTATTTCATACTTTATTACTTGGTCCTATTGCGCATATACACACCGAATCCCGCGCGATTTCGTTACCTGCGTTGCAAACGAGCCATTTTTCCATTTCTTTGGTAGCGCAAAATTTTCAGAAAAAAGTTTGCCACAACCTTCAGTCACATAATTTTTCAAAGAAACTCCTCAGTTAAGCCCTGCAAGCCCGTGTGCATGTACTTACCAAGTTTCATACCATATCGTTCATCTGCGCGTTCCAAACGAGCCGTTTGAATTCACATCTTCGTTTACCAGTTTTGCGAAATTCTCGGAAGAAATGCTAATTACTCGTTCCGTTCACATAAGTTTTTCATAATTTTTCATGCTATGTTTCCACTAGCCTCTCTCCGTTCGCATACAAAATTTGGTGCCATATCGTTACACATACATTGAGAACTAGTCATGTATGCTGTTACAAATAGCATTGCTTGGGCGACGTCGCGCGTGCGGCAATTAGCGACGGCGCGGTTTGACGCGCGCGAACTCCAGTGTTCGCCTGTTGAGGCACATAACATGTCAAGATAAGTAGCGAGCATGAACTACCAATTTTTTTCCAGGGCTCTGCCCCGGACCCCGCAAAAACGATTCCCCTTTGCTTTTTGGCCCCAAAACGATTTCCAGCTTGTCATTTGCCGACCTCGTGCCGGGCCCTGTACGAAGTGGTTCAATTCAGTCATTATGACATTCTTTTATGATTCATTTTCTAGCGACAGTAATAAAGCCTTCTGTCATGTATGGATGTTTGTGTCATGTAAGATATTTATGAAGCGTAAAAAATGTTTCCAACTGAAAAGCTTACTTTCTACTTCTTGCACAGATTTTCCTGCGAAAAAAACCGTTCCGGAACGATGTCAAAAACGTGCATGAGCAGGGTTTTTTGAAAATTTGTAACTAAAGTCAGGAGAAGGTTGATAGGTGCAATGAACAGGCTGTGTAGTATAGTGCCTAGACTATCTTTGGAAAAAATTCCAGCCACTAAAGATCAATGAGCTCGACAAAAACCGGAATGCGACTCTCGCAAATTTGGATGACATCCTGAGGAGCAAAAACTGGGATTTTTGAATTTGAGATTTTGTAACTCACCATGGAAGTTATGAAAGAGCCTGAAACTTTTATGATAGAAAGCAGGACGATGGCCTCATACAACACAATTGCAGCTAACAAGCTTCAATAGCTCCCGAGAAATTTAGATGCGACCAGATACGACCCCCCTTACTTCAGTTTTTGTCGGCTAACAAAAAATGATAGAAAATTCACAGATTTATGAAATAAGACCAGATGTTGCAGAAATGTAGCGGAGCATCTCCAAGGTACAGATAAATTGTATGGGCCAGTGAAAAACATTACAAAAAGATTTAAAAATTATTGATGGTCATCACCGGTAAAAATATTCGTTTGTGTCGGATGTGTGAAACTTCAGGGAGGCTTCGAAGCAAGATTTTTGAGAAAGTTGGTACATTTCGAATTTTTATTAGATCTTACATCCTTCATGAGGTTTTAAACTCTTAGAAATGTTTTTTTTTTTTCAGAATTTTTGAAAATCTTTACCTTACTATTCTTACCTACTTTTTTTAAAAAAAATTTATGTAAAGAACATGTATTGGTTATCTGCTTTCTAATTCCTTCTAGGCTTACGGTTTTCAGCCAAACTACTTCCTCTTACAACCCACTCCCCACCTTAGTTGCCCACTTTACGACCCCTGTTGCGACAGTCGCATCATACGCTTGACTCTGCTTCAGACATCCAAAATCATCTTGGTTGACGTCGTTGGCTGCATGTTCCAAGTGCGAATTCGTATCCAGCTGATTTCTCAGCTGTCTTCCATTCCACGAACACGTCTGCGAATCTCGTTAAGGAATTCCTCGGGGACGTTTTGCTTCGCGATAAATCCACTCCGACGTTCTCAGTGTTCATCTGTCGTCTGTTCTTCTCATAAGTGACAGCCCATCGATGCTTCGCTTTCGCAACGTATTCCGATGGAAAAGACGGAACATTCTTTTCATATCCGTACTGCGAAGTCCGACATGATGTTGTCTGTGTAGGGTCATCTTCAGATGACTGCGCGCTAGGGTTCTGTAGGTAGTCCTTAGAGCGTTCGACATGGCTACGGTGCCAGTCTCAAGTTTCAGCTGCGTAGTAAAGCGCCGGGAGAACGGCTGAATCGAACAAATGGGCACGAAGCTCCGGTTCCGTCAGTTGTTCGATAGCTCTCCTGTTAAGTTCCCCACTTAAGTCGTTCTCCATGTTCATCGAACGTTCGAGATATACGTAAGAAGAGTCTCCATGATAGGCTTACCTTCCAATCCCATTTCTGCATCTTTGCGAAGGGCGCTCTTCATAAACTGAATCTTCTTTCAATTTATTCGCAAGCCGATCTTTTTTCCTACTTCGTGTAGTCCTTTCAGCATTGTCTCTGCTTCAGTAATACTGCTCGAAAAGAGAAAGATTCGCTTGCTAAAGCAAAATTTTTAGCGGACATAAACTGGAATAAGTTTAGGCAAGCATAGATTGTCGGGAATGGTAGCTTAGTTTGATTCACTGACAAGTTGCGACATTTTTCTGCAATATCTCAAGATATATGTAGATACCATAAACCATAGAACATACATAAGCAGTTTATGTTTGGAAGAGTTTATGCACCTTCGACTTATGCGATGTAGTGATACTTTGTTTTTTATGGTTTTTTTAACCTGTTTATTTGTCGCAGGACTCTTACTCTTCTCAGTCGGTATACTTCCAAGATATCCCTCTATATCTAACTGAAACAAACACCTGGATTCATTTGAAGTTAACAAATTTCTACCTGATCAGCAGAAACGGGTTGATCGGAAACAGGTCGCATATCTATTCTCTTTTTTTAACGTTCTAAGACAGCCTCAAAGTATAAATTTTGTCAAAATAATCTCCGCAGCTTACTATCAGCTTTAGCAAATCCGTGTTTTTACTGAAGAAAACATTATAAAAAACTCTACCAACCTACGCCAAGCTTCAGCCAATTTGTCATTCTGAGTGTCGACACATCCCACTTGCAATAATAATTCTAATAAGTTTTGATAGTCGAGGAACTGTTCGCATACTTCGTATGCTGGGTGGTCTGTTGGGTTCGCTTGGTCTGTACAAACCGGAAATTCTCGCAAATATTTTTTAGGCAAAAACGGTATAGCTCTCATGGTACCGTACCACTTTCTTACTTTTCGGCACACCTCTTACATATGTCAAGTTTAGCGCATTTCGGCGCCTGCTCCATACTACTTAAGTGGAAGAGGCTAATTTCGATACATAAATTGCAAAGCTATGCCGTTCTGCAGCCTTTATCGCGGCTGAGTCGAAATCCATAATAATTCTTGGTTGCATCTTGAAGTTGACTGAATCTAATTCGTGCCGCACTCTTGCGAAAACTTTTTCATAAGTCTCCTGCGCTTTATTGCGCATAAAGCATAGAATAACGGTACATGAAAAGTGTGCTAACATGTGTAGACCTCTCGACTTCCGTACTTGATTTTCATCTCATAGACTTCCGTGTATCGTACAGAGTTGAGCGCGATCGCTTATGTGGGTAAAACTTTGTGAGTCATAACCTTTTTTATAATCTTCTTAGCCCTAAAGACAAGCAATCTGTAAATCCACATTTTTTTATCTGTCAAATGTTCTGGAGTTTTTTTCGTTAACAATTCGCATACTGGCTGATCTTTTCGGTTGGATTTACAAAGATTCATAAAAAAAGATGGAGATTTTTCAGCAGTCATTACCACTCACTGTAATGTTTCGGTTGATAAATAGATATGATACGTCGGCGGTGATTCTTTCAGAAACGTGAAACTATTGCCAATGCATATCTTTCGGGTATAGAATTCGTTCGCGGCATGAGTGGCGTGAGAGGACTCTGCCCTAGATCAACAGATGTCTGACTGGATTGAGTTGTGCAAACATTTATCCTGACCGTTCAATGCTTTTTCGTCTAGTGGCGAGCCTGTTTTATAAAAATGAGCCACAATCTCATTATCGAATTAGCTTCATTCATAGCCGATGCAGAACGTTCTCCCAAATTTCTATCACATAATTTGGCATGCTTCAAGCATACTTTTCTAAACGGTTTGGGAGGGCTAATCTATTAATCACAAAGACATTGTTCTTGATATCATTCGTTCTTGATATCAACCTCAGAAATCCGACTTGTCTTGTCCGCGGATGGATTGATCAGGTACACACATGGTTCATACAAGGTCTTCAAGAATTTTATTATCGACCACTCAAAGTATTACAGCTTCGAGAACGTGAAGCTAAAGGTCTCTTTTCACCAACCTTCACATCTACAAACTTCAAATGAGGCAATTTCGGTGTGAAAAACCAAGTAAACGTTAAATCAAACGGAAAATAAGACTGATGACATACCTACCCAAACGATCATATAGTGCCTGCTTCTTATGAACCTCAACACGCAAATCTTCGTGATTCCTGTTCCTTTTTTGGAACGTGAAAATATGTCTCTTTGTGCCCAGCATCGTATAACGGATGACCTCGTTTTTCTCGTTTCAACTTTTTCGGCGCTCGCGGAAAAGGAAGCTGACGCTGCGGTAGATCTCTGCTCGGTCGTTAACAAGAAAAGATCAACTGGAAGAGATGAAACACATTTAGCATGTCAAAACAAAGCATTATTGCAGTCTTACCACGTTGATCTCTCAAAGCTTCTTATAATACCTTCTCCCGATGCTCTATCGCTCTTGGAATTCAAGGCAGACATCGTTACAATAGGAATAAAATCGCTATACCTTATCAACGCAAAGGTGAGCTTGTTCTTGAGCTTGTGTCATCCCTCTTACACCTGTTGTGTTTCGAGAAGCTCACCAGGGGTATTAAACACGTGATCCAAAAATTTTTCACATTCGTATGTCAAGTTGTTAGTTGTTGGCCTATACACAGACATTTTTACATTTTTTTTTATATTTTTACAAATACACGGACAACGTCATTAGGGTATGAGAGTCTCTATAAGATACATGAAAAATGAATAATGCAGTATTGGAGTAGCGAGGTATGACGCTTCCCTCTCGGGTCCCCTCCCTTCCCACGGGAAATGTATCGTCCCCTCCATAGAACACGCTACCCTTGGTCTGCGTCTCAGACCTGCCACGTAACATGTTGGCAACGTGGCCACAACATGTTTGCAACATGTCGAACATGTTGGCAGAACATTTTGGCCACGCCAACATGTTGCTGCATGTTGCCAACGTGTTGCTGCCTTGCCAATGTGTTAGTCACACGTGGCACGTCCGCGACGCCACAAGGGTAGCGCGAGCAGATGAGGGGACGGTACGTGTGCATACAAGCCTTGTTGTTAGAAGTGTAAGTCGATGATAAATGTGCAAACGGAACATCAACAAATGACAATTCTTTATAAATATATCATCTCAAATTATTTCATCAACATTGAAGGTAGCTTGAAAGTGATGTTTGTGATTCGACCCGTTTTGACCGCGAATTATATTGGAATACTTGATTTGAAGTGAATGCTGTTACAGTAGAGCCGGAAGCTGAAAAATACATCATTGATCATTGAAAACGAGTATGCGAACTAAGTATGGAAAAGATTTGCAACTACTAGATATTACTTAGTAAGCAACCAATTTTCGAGAATTTCAAAAAAATTTGCTAACAGTTAGCTTCTTCAGTTTATGTAATATAACTTACGCGATTCTATCCCTTTGACTCCGATGGGCATGTTCGGAAAGTAGCTAGATACACGGTTTTTCATTGTAGATTGGTTCCAGAACTCATCATAAACGGAGAACTCGTCCCCACTCTGAAAATAATTGTGAAAAATTTCTAACAGCTGCTTGAAAATCGTGAACTGAATTATTATTAAATGTGAAACTGGCAATCATCCCTCTGTTCAAATACTATAAAAATGAAGACTTTTGCTTTTTTTGAACTTTATTTACCTCCAAACTTTTCCACAGTTTTAGTCCCTTTCAAACGTTCATTACTATCATGTCTTTCGAAGCTTTTTCAAAATTAGTATGAATGCCACCATGGAAACACTTTCAGAAGAGTTTTTAGAGCCCGGTTGGTGATAATTAATCATAATATCTAGATTACATTTTCTTGCATTCCTTACGCCTACAGATTCTTTTTTCTTAAAACATTGTTGAGTTCTTTACCGCATCAGAAATAAGTATGAAAGAACGAATTTCTTGTTTGCCGTTTGGTCCCAAGGTGGAACTGTACCATCATGCCACTTTGCTTACCGATAACAATATTTGATGTCCATTTATCCACCTCAGAGCTCCATGAGGGGTAAAGGAAATGTCGGACGGCAATCGCTTCGGGTATGCAGAATCCATTTGGAAAATTCCACGAATCCGAGAAAAGTAGTAGCCGTACACCTAACAAATGCAGCCAAATCAACAAACAAACAGAAGAAGTTTTTGGGACTTACTCTTCCATCCCCGAATAAGAGCATCATTCCAGAAGTAGGATTGAAAACAGCGGCGTCAACATGTGATGGAGCAGAAGAAAAAAGTTCAGTGACTCGATATGACTAGAATAGTAATACTACTTCCACGATTTAGTGAATGGGACCTTTTGCACATACCTTGTGCACCTTCCTTCCAGCCAAGGCGTAAACTGTTGAGCCAGAGAACAGGTAAGAAAAGTCGTCGCCTATAAAGTAAGTGTTTTCATTTTCGAAGTTGTGCCTTCATATAAAGGATTACTTGGAGTAAAGGCGTCCACTGAGTAAGGACATCCTGCTGAACCACTTCCAGAACGGCCAGAATCACCGCTGCCAAATAAGCCTCCGCGACTTCCACTAGTAGTTGGTGGGCTTGGACGTGGTGTCGTGGTGGGATCTACAAAAGCGTCAATCGCGAAACAACCACAAATCAAGGGTTCTCGTCAGAAATAGATTCCTGCAATGCGAAAACTTTGCTTGCTTGCGACACCTTTTTTGAGTGGAAAGCTTATTCTTATAAATTCCATAATGATTTCTTCAAAGTTTGCTTAGAGGCAGCATCCACTCGAATTTAGTCTTCCATGTTTTGTCATTCTGGGTTCTTTCCTTGGCTCTGGTCACAGTTCTAAAGTCCAAAATGTCTCCCCAAAAAAACTGCGGGGACATTTTCTGAAAGCATGGGCGACTTTCAGTCTTTGGATAGGCGGAGCTTGATAGCGTGGGCGTGACTTGCTAGCACTTTCGCGGGTTCTACACCCACTTCTCCATTCAGAGGCCACAATGGAGAACCAGACCAACGCAGATGCCGTTTTACTGAGGCTTGTTTTGAGGCTGTGCACTGAGTTTAGATTTTGCGTGGACGCTGCCTTTACCTTAAAATCTTTGAATAACCTTACCGATTACGCTCGAGACCGTTGCCCTGTTCCTGTTGAAGTTTTACATTGGAAAGCAAAAAATTTTAGCTCACAAAGCTACGATGACATTTTCATATGCCAACCTGTATTTTGAGACTTTGGAATTTGAACATTGCCGAGTTGGTGTGATTATTGTGAAAGTACAAATTTTGCTGAAAAAGACAAGGACTACGATTTTTTTAAACTTCTCCTTCTGGGAAAAAACGGTCTTCTCATTAGAAATCCAAGATCTATCTTAGACGCCCCATTTCTCACCTTTTCTCTGTAACTCGCACAAGCAAAGCTCTAGCAAAACAAAGTTCTTTAGAAAAAAGCTTTCCAGCACAGAGTCTTGCAATAGAAACGTCAAGTAAGCAAGCCATGCTTATTTCAAAATGTTAGTACATTTGGTTTCTATACATGACTAAATAGAGCTTTTGTGTTCAATTGAAAATGCCCGACTCATTTGAATATGTATAATGCGCTTCACATTTGTGCATTCCATCAAGTGATTTAGTTAGTGCGAACCAAGAAAAAAATTTCTGATTGTTATTCCCATAATTAGGACTTATTGCACATCAACTGCTCAAACGGGCGAACTTTCTAACTTAGTTTACTTACCATCGTCATTTCCAAACAGTCGATCAAGCCAGCCTCTGTGCTTTGGTTTTGGAGGCTGTGTAGTGCGATCCCGATCCCTAGACGACCCACTATCTATAACACTGAACATTCATCTCACCGGTGTTATCAGGGCTCGGCACAGGGGCTTGGTAAGCAAGGTGGATATCGTTTCTGGAACAATTTCAAAATGGGGTTTCGTTTTTGTGGCCGAAAAGACACAAACATTGCGAAGTTTTTTTGGTCGACATTTCGGATTTTTTGAGATTATGGTTCAGGGTCAAAGGGGACTTCGTAACATTTTATAAGAGTCAAGGGGGACTTTGTTCTAGGAGAGCCAGTTCGTGCCGAACCCTGGGAATTATGGGGGTAAACCCTCAGTCATAGTTATTCCATGTCGCAGCTAACAATGGAAGTTCACTTAGTCAAAGTGGCGATTCGGAAGGTGATCTACACCAATGCATAGAGCTCAAAACTCTAATCTCAGACATACTTTTTATATCTGCGATGCATTGTTCTGAAAATATTAGGTCATTCCGAAAGTAATTTCGCTTTTTTCAAACGGGCGCCACATTTGATGGAAGAAAGGTTTCTAAGAGCTCTTAAAAGCATTCGATGCAGAATTTCATTCTCGTTCTAACGGTCATGAAAATGTTGCAAAACATTCAATGAGCTTTCAGAAAATAATCAAAATCTGCGACCCATGCTTTTTGAGATGGTCAAGTTTCGCGATTTTTTCAAACTTTCATATCAGTCCTCAGAAGGAGTTCAAGTAACGGTTCGATAGAGTAAACCTTACAAAATACAGTGTTACTTTTCTCTTTCTCGCGGCTCGCCTTAATTTTTTAAAAGATTTTTCAACAGAACCATCGGATTTTGGCAGGCCCTTCTCAGCCACAATCGCATCAAACATCATAATTTTTCGTAATTTGAGACTACCAAGATGGTATTATAAGCTAGCATTAATTTTACAAAGCAGGTGAGGGTTTACGGGTTCGAAATATCAAATTTCGAGTTTTTCGGATACAGCCTGGGGCTCGCTAAAAAAATGAGTTATAATGATTTCTCCCCGGAAACTAAACGAATCGGAAACAAAAAACACCTGTTAGAAAGAGGAGTAATTGCTGCAACGAATAGTGCGCGAGCTGCTCTTCTTTTGATGTTCTACGAGGATTTAGCTACTCAAATATTAAAATCGGTAGCATCAGTTAAAATTCTGTTGAAAATGTATGACAAGCTATGGAAAGGAGAAAAAAGCAGTACTGAATTCTGTAAGGTTTACTCTATCGAACCGTTACTTGAACTCCTTCTGAGGACTGATATGAAAGTTTCAAAAAATCGCGAAACTTGACCATCTCAAAAGGCATGGGTCGCAGAGTGATGGCAGGGTTGGCACAGGGGGGTAATCGAGCATGCTGATCACCCCTACGGGGGTGATCAGCATGCTCGATTACCCCCCTGTGCCAACTCCCAGCCCCGTAGCTCAAATTTTGCGAAAAATCGATAAAATCGATATCGATCGATGACGAAAAGTAGCATATGACACCCGCCGGGGCCCGAAGTGTATGTGTGCCAAGTTTGGTCCCGATCGGTTAAGAAATGGATTTTTCTATTCGGAGCATACGTACACACAGACATACAGACAGACATACATACATACAAACAGACATTCAACTTTATGTATCATCTATTCTACGACTAGGAGACCCGTGACCGCATTGCGGGCATTGTCTTAACATGTTTGAGTTTGTTCTTCCCTGTTTCCAAAGAGTGGATAAACGTGGGCGAGATAAATGACAAGTATAAACCTGCTAAGTACACGACTAAGCTTGTTTAGACAATGTGTGCAAAGCGGTCTCGCGTCTCCTAGTCCTAGAATGAATGATATAAGACTTGTTCCCTGATCTACCCCTTCTTTACGATGTTATCGCCATGGCTTTTTGAGCACCTCAGCAGTAGCGCCAAAACTTTCCTGAATTTTCAAAATTTTTATCTTGATATTTTCGATGAGCGCTGGTGACTATTATGTAGGGCAAACCTTTGGCTACATTGTACCTATTTTAGATTACGTGGGCCACGTTTATATTGTTCGTAATAATTATTTATTTGAGAAAAACCGCGGCTTTTTGAACACGTTTTATCACGTAAAATTACCGAAAATTCCAAAAAGCTGATTTTGAAGCAAATCAAACTTGGTTATGTTGCATAAATGATGTTAAATAACAAATAAGTTTGAATTAGCAAAAACTCAGAAGCTTTCATGCTTTTGCTGCAATCACGCGTTTCATGACTTTGCTAAAAACCAAGGCCTCCGGAGAAATAATTTTTTGAAGTTAAAATCAGCAGATTAGGAGAATCTAAAAAAACGAACTTGTAGCCTGAGAGTTGCTCTATTTGACCCATACTTAGTCTTTTTCGAAACTTTGTAATGAAATTTTGATAATGATAATTAGGTTAACTTTGAGCAGGTAAAATTGGCGTGGAGAATTCTGGCAGTTATCAAAAAAAAGCATACAAGGTTATGGTATGAAAGTGTATCCTTAAGAAAGAGAAGGAAAAGCTGCATTGAATTCATGTTGAAACTCATTCAGGTCTTTATTGCGCGTGGTTTTACAGTGGTTTGATAAAACCGACAAAACTTTCGGGACAACCTAATATTTTGAGTCGCAAAATCATGATAACTTCTACACAAAAGTGTGCAAGCTTAAGCAAACCACCTAGTAGGCATTGTAGGTCTAACATGAGTTCATCCGAATTTTCGAGTGTTTTCCGAGCATGTTATTTATCCACAGGTCGTCATTTCCCTTCTAGATCACACTTCCATTATACAGGGTGTCCCAAAAGTATGTATCGAACGTTTGATCGTTAATAACTCTCTTCCCAAGAAGTCTTTTGCCTTGCTTCAGGTACCGTTTTGTAGAGCTGGCTTCAACTTAGATTTGCAGTATAGAACGAATCACTCATTTCTCTTCATTACTGTAGGATTACGGTAAAAACTTCAAGGAGGGTTTTAAGCAATGAAAGGCCATATTTTGCCCCAGAAAGGAAACAAAACAGCCTTAAAACTTTTACACTAGGCTAATTAGAGTTGCTGATTATAACTGTAAAGTTCCCAACTTATTATGATGCTTCATTGAAGAGTTATGCCAGGTAAGAAGTAGCGGCCATTTTTTCAATGTTCCTGAAAAGTGGGATTGCACCGTTTAGAAAGCTTCGTAATCTTGTGAATAGTTGAGTATTGAACTCAGCGTCCATAAAAACCCTGTTACACAAGTTTTCACAATTTTTTGAAAAATTTTGAAACAGCAGCTTTTTTCACATTAACACCATATGTTTCAAGTTTCTACCGTAATCCTACAGTAATGAAGAGAGATGAATGATTCGTTCTATAGTGCAAATCTAAGTTGAAGCCAGCTCTACAAAACGGTACCTAAAGCAAGGCAAAAGACTTCTTGGGAAGAGAGTTATTAACGATCAAACGTTCGATACATACTTTTGGGACACCCTGTATATTAGGTCATTCCGAAAGTTCTTTCCGTTTTTCAGCCTATCATAAAAAGACGTGGAATGAGTGTAGGGAAACGCTTTGGGCACTATACGACGCAGCTTTTTTTCCTCTTTCTAGCAGTCATACTCCCACATCGCTTACTCTTGTGATCACTGAGATGATGGCCGAAATTTCGAACCCATGGTTTTTACCATGTCCAACTTAATTTTTCACAATCTTCTTTTTTGACTTTCGGGAAAGCTTTGATAACAGCCAGATAGAGTAAACAAAGTGCAATTTGATGCAATTTTTCGGCGTTGATAGCTAGCTTTAAAAAATTTTTAGAATTATTTTCCTGGTGCTATCAAATTTCATTTTTGAGGATGCCAAGAGCCATAGAACATAAGACGGCGCACAACTAAGGTACCGTTCGATGCAGATTTTCCTTCTCTTTCTAATGAATATATTTTCTTTCCAATTTGTGGGGTCCTTGGCGATAAAGTTTCCATAACTCTTGATTTTGAACCCGCCCCAGCCTGTACACGTAAAATGCGAAACCTTATATTTCCAAGCGGTAAACGCTCAGTTGCTTTTTAAAAATTGTGGATAATCGTAACTGACTTTTGAAAGCTTCAAAATCCGTAGATTTGTAGGTGTTCGGGCGTTTCTGTATTTTGGGACTTTGCAAAAGTGAAGACTTTTGGAAAAATTATCTCAAAAAATACTGAAAGGCCAGCTGGATATGCGAAAAAATTGCATTGTATTGCACTTTGTTTACTCTATCTGGCCGTTACCAAAGCTTTCCCGAAAGTCAAAAAAGAAGATTGTGAAAAATTGCCAAAGTTGGACATGGTAAAAACATAGGTTCGAAATTTCGGCCATCATCTCAGTGATCACAAGAGTAAGCGATGTGGGAGTATGATTGCTAGAAAGACGAAGAAAAGCTGCGTTGTATAGTGCCCAAAGCGTTCCCCTACACTCAATCCATGTCTTTTTATGATAGGCTGAAAAAACGGAAAGAACTTTCGGAACGACCTAATATACCAAAAAGCCCATAACTTCATCTAGAAAAACGCGTCGCAGATACTGAAGGTATATTTGAAAACATTTTTTTACGTTCTATCTGGTGTATATCATATTCCAAATCGCCACTTCGACCCAACGAAATTCCCTTGTAAGTGTGAAAGCGTTTGTAAAATATGAGCTGTAAGAAAATGTCTGCAGTGGTAAATTCAACAAAAAACATGTTGTAAGATTCCTCTCCTTTGATGATTTTCTTATAAGGCTTCCTCATCAAAATCATAGGTTAGCATGCTCATGCAATATCAAAAACAAAGTGACTTTGAAGAATTTCATTTGAGGCTAGTTACTCAGTTTTCATGCATGTTAACCAGTGCGCGGCAAGAGCTGGCATAAGCGAATTTTCAAAACGAAGTCCCCTTCGATTTTGAGAAATTCGTATGAAGTCCCATTTGACCCTAACTCCTAAACGTATAAAATCCTCAAAAACAAAAAAAAACGAATCGTCGAGTAAAAAAAACGTCGCAATTTTTGTGTTTTTTAGGCCACAAAAACGAAATTCCCTTTGCTTTTTGTCCCAAAACGATATCTAACTTGACCTGTGCCAGCTGGTGCCAGATGATGTTAACTCATCTCCCAACTTGAAAGATTTTTAATAACTTTCTAGCAGTGTCGCAATTGCAGATAGTTTTGCAAAATACGAAAAAACAGCAAAAACATCACAGAAGCAGAGACACTGAAGTGAGATGTTACAAGCGAATAAACTCGGGTTAAGTGTCAGACGATGACCTAAATTACGTGAAAAGCCTTTTGGATTAATAATTAAGCCAAAAGTTATGGTAGTTTGATCTATACTGCGTGAAGGTAGAGAATGTGCAAGTGCGCAGTTGAAGTCACTTCTGCACAAATTCCGTTCAGGATTACCGTATCATATCAACTCACTGACACACCTGATTTTTTTTTGCTTTGGTAAAAAAAGAAAAACTACTTACCAAACGAAGATCCACCGCTAGGGCGCTTTGGAGACGTTGGTTTACCTAAATATCATTTTAACATGCGCTTCTTTATTGAACTGTAAAATTACCGTAGATATCTTGGATACTGGAGATGTCATCGGATTTCAATGTTGGCTTCTTGTAGTTTCCACGCGAGTCCACCTGCAAAACAGTCGAAATGATCATAAAAGGTGAGAATTTACTTGCCCTACCGTTTCATGGTAGAAAGGAGCCATTATAGAGGTCTCATCGCGGGAATGTGACAAACCGAGGGTATGGCCTCCCTCATGAATTGCCACGGCTAGAAGGTCCGTGTAGTCGCCACTAAAAGAAGAAGTTGTTTACAGTGTCACTTTCTAGCATAACAGGGACAGAATTATGAAGTAAGTTGATATTTTTTAAATGAGAAAAAATATGCACCTTGCAATTTTCTTCGCATCCATATATGTCCAATTTTCGTCGTCATCAAAATGTAGTGCACCATTCTCAGGCATAGTGGCGTGCGCTAGCACACCTCCTGAAAATAAGATTAATCTGCACTATAGAAAATAGTGTGTCAAATCATGCAATTGGGGTACTTGAACAGAAATTTTGTTGGAAAATATCTAGAACACTTTAATCGATTTCAATAGCCTTCATTCTATACAACCTCCGTCTCATTTTCGTTCTAACCTTTGTGACTGACGTTTCTCTTGTAATGTCTGGCCTCTTTTCAAGACACAGCACATCTGCGAGTGCACGAAATAATTAAATAATGGTCTCGTACACCACTCTCGAAACTTGTTGTCACATGAGAAAATTGCAAATTCAAGTGATTCTGACAGTAATGTGTACAAACTGTCTACATCACGTAATCTTTTTACTAAATATTTGCAGTGGCTCAATTTAGAGTTTTTCTTTTCCTGTTTGATACTTTTCTTTCATTATCTATTTCGCATTCTTGGCATTTTCACAAATAACATTACAATCGAATTATCAGTGATGGTAATCTAAAGTGACACCCTGGAAATTACTTTACCAGTTCTAATACTTCAAAGGTTCTCTTGAGATTTCTTTGCCAAAAACTCCATTTCTCAATTATAAGCAATTAGGAGCTATTCTTCTGCAAACATTGCGTGCGAATAGGTTCCCACAAAAATCACAATTTTTCAGTCATATTCTCTGCCCAGAGCTTGACTTAGGTAACCAAAAAATAATCAGAGCATAAGTAGAAAGACATTTTTGAGAGAGGATGTTAGGGATCTTGCTTTCAAATTTTTTCCCAGTTCTGCACTCATTTGTATTAGGTTGTCAAGAAAATAATGTCCGTTTTTATTTGCTTGCTTTAACAAAGCAACCAGACTCAACCCAACAAAGGGTAAGGGGTACTGTTCGATAGAGCAAAGCAAGCTCTACAAGATGACACTCATGTCTTTGCGCCATGCTCAATCCGCGGAAAGTTCGAACTCAAAATCTAAAGATTTCCAAATGCTCAAAAAACCGAAAAAAATCGGATCTTCGTCCAAATAATTTCTACGGACCTCCCACTCGCTCACATCAATACTATCGATATCTGATATCCATATGTGCGATTGTCGTATTTTTTCCTTGACTATAAACTGAGAAAACGAAAATTTCCCTGATTTTCTCAAAGTAATGCTGAGCCGTTTTTGTATATGTAGTTCTATACTACAAGCCTAGGTAAGCATAACTGTAGGTTTTCAGCCTATTTCGAGAGGTACTTTTCGAGAAATGTCGATTTTAGCATTGAAACCTCATCAGGCCCTGATTCCAATGCAATCGATGCTGCAGAAGCATAGGGAAGTAATGGAAAGTTTATAAAATGAACTTACCTTTACCATCAAAAGGCCAAGGATCGTTATGGTTGCCTGTACCAAATCGGACCTAATTATAGAGTCAAATTTTTGCTGAAAAGTGACAGTATCGAAGGATTACCTTGATATCGGCTCCACTACCAGCAGGTATCTCCTCGAACTCCAGAGGCGTGACTGCTGCCCACATTTCATATCCTTCTCTTATAGCCTTCCTGAATACTTAGTAAAAAGCCCTTGAGGTCATCGTGGTTTCAGCCATATTTTACTCCATACCTAACATCATCCCTAGGTAAATCGGAAGAAAAGTTTTCGATTGAGTACGTTAAACGATTTTTTCGCCATTTGAAGGCCGCACCTGTAACAATTATGATTGATTAAAGCTATCAACTCAACATTCACTAATTTTTCATGTGGCTATTGTATCTTTGTTTGTTTAGCACCTTCTTCGCCGTAGAAGAAAATCTGCCATATGATGGGTACTAAATCATAATAATGACTATATTTGCGAGACCCAGTGGGAAAAACGGTAAGGGATACTGAGCAATCATTTGTTATTCATGCAAGGCTGGGATGAACAGATACAACAAATTTTCTTTCTCGGCTTACATAACGTCCATAACCGAATTTGAAGAATCACTTGAGTTTATACAATTTATAGAGCGTTGCTATGATATGATTAGATTATACAATGACATAATTCATAAGTTGAGGAACATTCTAGAGACCCAATCCCGCGCTGTTCGATTTGTTAAGCGTTGTGTTTTCCTTCTTCATTGAACTATGGACTGTGCAAATTTGCCTAATTATTTGGTGGTTAATAAATAAGTTCGGTCGCTTTCGCGGCTCCTGCAACTGCTTTTTGTCCAGTGTTTGGTGTCTCTGGAAAAAGCACTTTAATGGGAATCGGAATTTGAATTTTGTTCGAGTAGCACTTATCTTCCGGGGAAAAAATCCGCAAACAAGTGAGAAATCCCAACTTTCTCATAATGCGCGAATATGACAAAACTTGGTTTTTTGATAGAAAATTTTCAAAGTGGCAGATCACAATTCTCATTGTTATTCACTAAATAAAGAAAATAAAGAAAACTCCTCCGTATTCGAATACCTAACTGCTATTCTCTACATCCACTACAGCACGAAAACGATGCTTAGAAAGTTAAAAAATGGAGCTTCTAGAAGTTTAGCAAAGTTGAGGCATAACTGTCTTTGCTGGATAAAAAATCCTACATATTTGAGGTGTATTAGAGGAAGCTTCGAACTACTTTTCCACAAAAAATCATGAATAGAAAGCAAGAAGGACTTTTTATGAAGTTTTGCATGCCAAAACGAACTTATTTTCTAGCCAACCTAATAGACGGTCGTCTGCTAATAGACGGGTAATTCTGTTGGGAAAGACGTCTTTGAACTTATGAATCTTAGAGAAGATAAACAGAAAAAAGCCAAAAGGAAAAGAAATGGACATTGGAATTCTTCCAAGAAAAGCCTTTATCTTCTTAATAAAGTATTGAAAAAGGATAAAGCAACAAACAACTACATGTAAAAACTGTACTTATACTTGGAGTTACCTTATAGTATGACAGTGGTATCTTAGCTTACCACTGCTTTGAAACGATATGAAAATTTCTGACATTTTTGCAACACAATGTGACTTCAACAAAATGGACATAATTAATTACGAAATTTTTGAAATGGAAAAGTTTGCAATAAGATCTGCAAGCACGCTATAACTGAGTACTCAAGAGCTGTTATAATGAAGTTTTTATCGTCCTGAGCTTGAAATTCAGAAAGATTACGAAAAAACAGTGCACATTGGAATAAACAAAGTTGCTCTTGCAAAACAGTACATAGCTTAAGCTTTTGAGATTTCGTGGAAATTCTAGCAGATCTTGTTATTCAACTCATATGACTCCGCATATTGCAGTTGAACGGTGTCACAAAGCGGCAAGATGCTTTCAACAGTTTGTACAGCAGTGTCAAGCTATATCCATCAATTATTGCGATTTATACTTACCGTCTAGCGCAATGACAGAGAGGATTCCACTTCAAAGCTTCGAAATTTTGTTTAAACAAACAAATTTCAAGTTATAAAATTTGATTTGTTCAATCAAACGACTTGGCAGTTAGCATAAGTACAGTGCCCACGTTATACAACAGAAAGCGAAGAAATTGCCAGATTTCTTTTTTTTCTCTTTATGAATGCTTTCTACACCATTGAATCCATTTGAAATCTCTGTTCAGACCCTAATCAATTGATTTTTCTTAAAAGGCTAAGGTTATCCGATATCATTTGAAGTGGATTCAGACGATGTAGAAAACTTCGGAAAACTTGCACAATGAATAGCTTACGAAAATGGAAAAGATGCGAACTGGCATTTCTTATTTTCTATATTTTCTTTACCAAATAATAGCGTGGATTTATTTTGACATTATCGTATTGTAATGTAACGACAGTACACATTTGCCAAAACTACTCTGGCTATAAATCCGTTAAAAGTATATTAAATAATCTTAATCATGAAAGGGCTAATTGGTGAAGGAACTTGTTAAAATTAAGTAATATCCGAAGACATGTTATGTCGCTTGGTTTCAGAAAGCACGATGTGAAAGATGTAGCGCAAACAAAAGGAACTCACGATGCGAAAAACTGATGTAACCCAAGTATGGAATCATAGAAGAGAATCAGACAATCGGTTACCTCCACTGCTGATAGCGAGCACATCCGTCACACCACATCGTGGCTCGGCCATTTTCTTTTTTGTCTCCGTATCCAGTACGCCAGTTTTCTTTAGACCAGCAAACTCTTGAAACTTTCTGTAACCGCCGTCACGCTCAATTAGTTTTTCAAGAATTTTTTCGTATAGAAATCACTTACAGGACTGCTCTCTTGAATAGACTCGTGACATCGCTAAAATCTACCCCCGCATGTGAGGACGACGATCCCAAGCTGTTACTTGGTGCAACATAGCCGAATTCTTGCAGATATCTCTGAAAACATGAATTAGTCTACAATAATATTTTTTCCCAGAAAATTCGGCTTTGATAGTACCAATTTCTATTGATGCGTTACTTTTCAACATTGATCCTGTCTTAGGCAACCGCTTACATCACTGAAAAAACATTCGAAGTTGTTCCATAATTGTTCCCATGTATAACAACGCATTCTACTTCATTCATACAATTCTTTTACTCTTTGCTTAGTCTACTATTTGAATTTATGTTTTTGAACAGTAAAATTTGTCACAGTTTAGCTATTCTCTTTCAATGACCACTTCTTAAGTTCGTAAGGTCAGTCTCTAAGAAACAAAAAATTGCCCACTTTCCTTGAATAGTTTTTTCTTCAATTTTGCGTCTTGTGATAATGGTGTTGTCAGCAGCGCTCATTTTGTGAATTACTGTAGTTCAAATTCTGGAAATGATTAGAAGCAAATAAAATAGTTCTACCACAACTTGGATTTCAACGTCTCAATTTAATATCGGCTTTTCAGATTCTAAGCGTAAATTTAAGAATTTATGCACAGAAAACGGAAAAGGTTATAATGGTTTCATAGTCATCCAATCGCAACTTTTAGTCGTCTGGAAATCAATCATCAAAAATTGGCACGTCTAATTTGGTGGTTCTTATTTTTGTCATTAAAAATATAACACTAGAATGTCGCTGACTAGCCAAAATCTGTAGAAATTTTCTACATAGCAGTAGTCCATATGTTCCTGCAGCAAACTCCACTCTCACGTGAAAATGTCATATTATGTACATGAAAAATTTCTGAGTACTATTAGTTATCTTCGAAAAAATCTATAAAAAATTTTTTACGGTGCTCTATACGTCAACGTGGTAGGCTTGATTAATGCGTCGGAATGCAAAAGCAATAAATACACGAAGAATACCATTTCGCAAAAAAATTTCTACATACAGTACTTTTCGGCAGAAGAGCACAAATCAACACCAGAAAATGCATAAAACTGATTCCAAGCTACCTTCTGTGAAAAAATCGCATTGATTTTGGGAGTTTTCGAATATTTCTATTAAACGATAATCAAGAATTTGAAGCGCTGTTTTTGGAAGCTTGATTCTGCGAGGGTAGTTGACCAAAAACTAACTAAATGGCACCATTGTAAAGCGAAAGCCTTCATCTACTATTATTATTCTCCGAATCACGCAAAACCCTTGCATCAACCTAGTAGAAAGTAATGTAATGGAATAGTGTAGCATTTGCTATTCATAGGCGCAAAAGTTGCTAACAAGCTAAAATGGGGGTTTTTGGCACAGTTTCGTCTCAGCTACTTTAACCTATGATTGATTTGCTTGCAACCGCTGTTTATAGCGCTACTCTTCCTAGAGCAAACTCGCAGCAAAAGCTTTACAAATATCTATTCATTATTTATTTATCAATTACATTCAGTGTTGTGCCACAAGACTATAAATAGTTGCAATAAAAAATCATAAATTCTAGCTTAAAGTGGTAGGAGAGTGTTCGTAACGTTCTTCGCCTGTTGACTACTGCTACAGGTGCAGAAATGAGGTGGAACAAGCCAGCGACCCTATATTCCTTAAGCTGCACTCAGAGTTGTCGACGTGTAGCGAGTGCCAGCGTCGTGCCAGCACCCACCCCGACCACCTCTATAGAATAGATAGACGGTGCTGGAACGGACAACTCCGAGCGTAATCTCAAGGTCCGAATGGGGGAGCTCAGAACTTAGTCTCATACGGCACGCAATGATGGTGTATTGCACAAATGGTATACTCGTGCATTTTTTGCGTCCTTCCTCAGAAAAGTCGCACATCAAGATACCCAGCGAGTACTCTGGTCTGTACAAACATCCGCTATCCTACATATGAGTCATAGCGTCCCGGTGGCCGAACTGGTTTTCGCGTCCACGTTAGGTCACGTGTTACCGAGAACTAAAAGCATTTTTATGACTTACTTTAGCCCTGTCATCTGTTACTGGTGCAAGCTTGCTCGACTTGCTGCTACTGCCACTGTTGTTGTTGCTGTTGCTCCCTCCTCCCGCCAATTTTGATATGAAGTCGAAAAATCCGGCATCGACTACAGTAATCAGAAAAAATAGGGAGAATATTAATGGCGGTCTCATCTAAAAAGATAATGCAGAGTAATACAGAAAATGCGGGAAGTAACAGATCTAATGAGTTTCACTCTTATGAATGAGTTTCATCAGTGGTCAAAGTGACTAAAAGTATCCTTTGGTTACTAAGAGGTTTTTTATCCACTCCGTATAGTCTGATGAAGCATTGTTAAATTTTCAAAAATTATGCGACAGGATACTTTACCCAATGAAAGACTATTTAGTATCATTCACATTTTTCAATTCTATTGCAAGGAATGTTGAGCTTGATGCTCTTATGTTCGCTCTATTTGATTACAGTTTTATTTAGTTCCATTACTAAGTGCAGTGCGACATAGGACATTGATAATCAGAACTCGTTAATCTTATAAATAGCTGAATGCCGTTCGTTTATACCCTTTGCCTCAACTAGATCGACGGCTGGAAGGAGGGCTCCGTGACTTAATTCAGGCTAAAAATGATCAGAGAGCATGAACGCGAGGGAGGCGCAGATTACGTCGCGGACGCAAGCAGTCGCTTTCAAGGTCATGAAGCCCCACCTTCCAGCAGCCAATCTGGTCGAAGCAAAGGGTATGTATGTCGGTATGTCTATATGCCTGTACGTATATTCCTAGTAGAAAAGGAAAATTTCATTTCTAAACCGATCCGGACCTAAGTTTGCACACCTACGCTTCGAGGGGAGATCAAGAGGCGCGATTTCTCCGGTTGTCACCAACTTAAACTCCAATTTAGTGCCATGCGAGTCTTCAAAAATTACCAGATAAAGTGCACTAGCTTACTATCTGTTTGAGGTCACCACTTGCTGAATTTCATGGTTTTTGCTTTAAATCGGATAGAAATGTTTATGAATTTGTTCTGAAATGCATTTTCATGGGTTTTTGACCTTCAAAATTGCTGTTTTGAATTTCTACTAGAATATCAGATTGAACAACTCATGCAACTATCTAATTTATCTTCTTCTAATTTTCAGATACTTCTAGAAAGTTGCAGAACACTTATTATGTGCTATCTAGTGTCCAGCTGGCAATAAAAATCGCGCCTCTTGACATACACCCCGCTTCGAGGGGGGGGGGGAGGGTAGGGTTGTAAGCCACTCGTCGTTATCAGTCAATTCGAGTTTATGCTTTTTATTGATATGCAAGGTTTGACCTATGGGGCTGGAAGTTGGTACAGGGAGGCAAGTGAGCATGCCGATACAACATTAAAAAATACAATATTAGTTTCTAAAATCACTTATTACTTTTATCAATTGCATCGACTGCAAAAATGGAGCTAGGGGGCTGAGAGTTGACATAGGGAAAAGCGGGAATGCTGAGTGAATATAAGGAACTGGCATTCAAAGTGTACACAGGAAAAGATGTACTGGAATAGAGTTTGATGGGGCCAGGCGGAGCCAGGTATGCTAGCTAGTTCATAATAATTAATACTCAAAAAATTACTTGTTTCTGGGCGTGAATGACTATTCCTTGATAAGCAGGTGGTGCATCGAATGGAGGGGAGGGGGGACTATTCTACAAGATGAAATTCCGCAAGTGACTTGTGACCAATTGAACATATTCCGAATTTTCAAAATTTAACCTAACCTTGTAAAATTTTTCACGAACGCGCGTGCAGCCGTTGGGATAGCTAAAAAAGACCGCAAAAGAAAAGGAAAAATGCGGGTTTCTAAAAATGCGAAAAATATATCAAAATTTTTTTGGTGAGCGAGGCTGACGCCAAACCCCTTCATTCAAGAAAATATTTCTTCTCGAACCGCTACAGTTCGGCATAATCAATCATATGAATCACAAAGACTTGGAGATGATTCACATGAAGATAATTTTTGGCCATCGTAATTTGTCTTGTTAGGCTAAACGATCATTTTTTTAAATTTTATAGTGGTCATGCTTGGCGTGAGATACAATGATTGGTAATTCATAATATGGACGATAACTGGCTCTATTGCTGAGTCATTTTTTTTTGGTTAAACTGGTTCAAGCTTACATAGCATGGGTAAAGAAATGGAAATTTGCTTAAAATAAAAACAACAAAGGGCTGCGAAGCTAGTGATAGGCTAGTAATGACAGTACAGTCTTAAGCATTGGTTGCACAAATGTATGCAGAAAGAATAAAATATGGCAGGTTGAATAAACATCGTAAGCAAATACAATAAAAATGGTTAATGCTTGCTCGCTTTTGAGGCAAACGAGTTAGGTAGCTTGATGAGTCATAGGAAGAGTGCAGAGAGGTATCGATGTTTTGTGGTTTTGTTTGTTTATCTCTCATACCTCATAAATGTTCCTGTTATCATTTCTTCGTTTTTTTCACTAATGCCAGTTTTCAAGTATGTGTGAGGATTTTGAAGATATTTTCCAAAATTATTAGGGCTGCACCAGAAATTGTTTTGATTAAACCAGTTATAAGCCCACAAGCGGTACCAGTTTGCGCACTCTTCAGCCAACACTATAAATTTGAAAATATGCTAGAAAGCTTTTATAAATATGCAAATTCTGTGAAAATGAACTGGTATAATTCTAAAGAAGTCAAAGCTATGCTTCACTCTCAATCTCCAGCTATATTTTCACCTTCAAAATATATTCTAATGTAAAACAACGCGAGCTGCAGTCTAAGAATGCGCAAAATTTATGCATAATAATTATTTCCACCAATTTTCCGAGATGTGACCAAAAACCGCGACAAGTGATCACAAGACTAACCCTCTTAAAGTGCCCGGAAAGGAAAAAATTGCAGATTCTTACAGTTAGTCTAGTTTTGTTGATTACCAAGAATGTTCTGAATAGTAATGACTGAAACTGTAGAGTCAAATAATTCATCGTTCTCATAATAACTGGCACGGATAGACAACCCTTCTTGCAATTATTTGGCATTCCAACTTACCAAAAGAAATCCCGCGGAAAAATTTTAACCCCAAACGAAAAGAGGAGAGTTTTTCTGCACAGAAAAGCGCTGTATGATTCGTAGTAGATGTCCTGTTCATTTGCACAAGAAATGCCTCTCATAACGTCTCATTCATTTTTTGTCCGAAGATGAAGAATGTGGGAAAATGATGACGGCTGCAAACCAATCTATTCGACAATTTCCTTTCCCAGTTTCGATACGAGAGGGTTTACTTCTTTTAACACTTCGATTCGCATTTATTGCTTTCGGGATCAGTAAATGTCACAAAAAATGTATATAGGACGTCTTAACTAAGGAAATTATGAAAAAAATAGGTAGACGACTAAGACAGTCCGACTAAGCGATAAAATATTCACATCACATGTGAGTATACCGCTTGTTGTCAGATCTGTAATTTCACTCATTTAGAATTAATGTCTCTATAGCAAAAAAGCGGGTCCCTTTTCTTGGAATTTCGGGATTATGGGTCAGCAAAATTTGACCAAAGCATCCCGATAGAATTCCAAAATGACGGTAGGTCCATTTACACAAAAAAGAAGTTTCTCTCTCTCCTAACAAAAAAAAATCGAACTGCCACCGATTTAGTATGCCCATAGTTGAGCCAGCGCCTACGATCTTTTAGTCCCGTTATCAGGTATGTAAAGGAACTGTTTTTGTGAAAAGATGATAAAAATGCATTGGCTACCATGATTGAAAAGCTCAATTAGTGCAACAAATAGGACTTGATTTTGATGAATTAGTTAATGTGACAGCAAATTTAGCTACAAACATTCTGTCACGATAAAAAGAGCAAAGAGATCGATTGATTAGCACAAATATAGGAAAATGTGAGCAAATCTGACTATGTTCACGCAAAGAACATAAAAACAAATGATCGATACTGTATAAGAAGTGTGAAACGTTTTAATCACAAAGCGGGTATACTCAAGGCCGGTTCTAGGTGTAACACAGACGACACAGAGACACACGCACAACAGCACAGATAGAATAACACAAGCGGTTGGACGCTTTGCTTAGTTGCGCGAGTATTCGCTCAAAGACATTCGGTCTCTGTTTAGAAAAAATTCGATCTTTATGCATCACTTCCGCCCACCTACTATCGCCGTCTTAGTCACTGTGGGAAGCAGTGATTGATATCCAGTTCAGCGAAAGAGCTATTCAAAGTAGTTATGATTATTTCGAATGATGAATGTGTCATTGAGAAATGGTGGCTAGCATTTGATTGCTTTTACCGCCGATAACGGTAATAAAGCAATGAGAAAGGCCGATCAAGGTCAGATTTTTGAACATTTCAAAGGCTAGTGGCACTTCCTATTAATGCGTTTTCGGGAAATTTAGACTAACTACTTTCTGCTGTTTTTTTCCAGAATCTCTTAAAGCCTTACCTTTCAAATGAAAATTCGTGGAAGGTCCCGCATTGTCGTTTCCGTATAGCGAAAGGATCGAAAAGAAAATTGGAATAATTAGCTGGCTTACCCGGCTCCGCCCGGCCCTGTCAAAACGCTATGATACAGTTCTCATATCCCTGTACAAGCTTTCCCTGTACCCACGTCCACATGCCAATTCACTACCGCTGTTTTAGTAATCAGCATGCTTGATTACCCCCCCCCCCCCTGTGCCAACTCCCAGCCCCGTAGCTCAAACTTTGCAAAAAACACGATAAAATCAATAAAAGTAATGGATATTCCAGAAAATATTATTGTATTCGTAATGAGCATGTTCGAGTACCCCCCCCCCCCTGCGCCAAATCCCAGCCCCGGGATTCAACTCAGCAAAAAAAAAATCGATAAAAATCGAAAAATCGATGTCGATCGATGACAAAAGTAGCCTATGACACCCGTCCCGCCCGAAGTGTATGTGCCAAGTTTGATCCGGATCGGTTTAGAAGTGGAATTTTCTATTTGGAACATACGTACACAGAAACAGACATACAGACATACAGACAAACAGACATTCAGCTACATATATACAAGATTCTGGTTTTTTCTTCTAACAGGGGAAGGATGGTTGGTCGAAGTGGCTTTTGGAGACGGAACACATACCATCTTGCAAGGGAAGTCACTCAACTTAGGTCGGCCTTTTGGAATGAAACACACATATTTAGAATCATCTCGGA